TTTATAGCGCTCTGTGGATATTAATATTATTTAGAATTTTCAATGGAATTTTTCAAATCTTCTCGTGTATGTAGGGAAAAATAAAGCAAAATGGAGGTTTTAGTGTCACCTGTGGCACTGGAAACAGGCCCGGTTCTTATTGGCTGGAGGAAGGTGTCCCGTTAGACAAACTGTGGAGCAGAAGAGCTGCGTCGAGCCTTTCCTCTGGAACGCCGTTTGACCTTTCAACAGAACCTGCAGACGAGAAAATAGGCATTAAAAATATCGGCCTCCTGAGTCCGACGCACAAAAACCAGCTCAGATCCTCAGGGAGAACCGAACAGTCTCTTTTCATGAATTCCTATCAGGCAGGAGGTCCTGGATCAGCCTTTTGGGTTAGTCTGGAGTATGGCCGCCATGTTGGATTAAAGGCAGGTTTTTCCAATGGGAAGAGGGTCACACAGAGCTTCCAATGCTACAAATTTAGTTGTATTGCAGCTTTTTTATTTATTGACACTTCTGGGCCACCATACAAAGGCCCTGTGAGGCAATAATAAACCGACTACAGCTCCGTGTTTGTTTGTGTATTCGGTATTTACAACGTCGATGACCAAAATAATGAATTTGGATGGGTTTTTTTGCCACTTTAAAGGAGACATATTATGCAAAACTAAGTTTTTAATAATTTGATTATGTACATTTGGGACTGTGTTAGCATGGTAGCGTTAGCGTGAGCATGGTAGCGTTAGCATGGTAGCGTTAGCGTGGTAGCGTTAACGTGGTAGCGTTAGCATGGTAGCGTTAGCATGGTAGCGTTAGCGTGCCGACGTGGGCACACCTCCCTGAAGAAGTGGGTGGATTGCCTGTGTCTCATTTGCATTTAAAGAGACAGGCACTCCAAAGCGAGCGCTCTGAACGGGGCTGTTTTGGGTTAGGGTTAGGGTTAGGGTTAGGGTTAGGGTTAGGGTTAGGCAGGGGGACTGAACTGCTATTGGGCTTCATCCTTATGGGATTTTGACCAAAGCTTGTCACAGACATTACATTAGGACACCAGGGAGCTAGCTTAACTTGTTGAAATAGGGTATAATATGTCTCCTTTAGATTAAAAGCAGATCCCCTCAGGATTGGACGGTTTTAGTACCTTTGAGCAGCCGCTGCAGCGCACGCTTCCCGGGACGGCGGGCGGCGGCGGGCGCGGCGCCAGGGAGTGGACGGTTGCCGGGACGACGGCCGGCGGCCGGACGGGGAGGGGGGCCACGGCCTGCAGAACGGCTCCTCTGCTGGGGATGAAAAAGGCCGTGGGGGCCTGGAGCTGCACGGCTGTGGGCACTAAAGAGGACGAGAAAGAGAAAAAACCTCCAATTACTTTTTTATCCTTTACAGTAGAACCTCTATATAAGAATTTAACTGGTTCCAGGAGCGACTTCTGTGTTAAATATTGGTATGTTGGTTCAAATCCTCCATCAGAATACTCTGTAATTCCTAGAATCGATAGATAGATAGATAGATAGATAGATAGATAGATAGATAGATAGATGTGACTGATTGATTGAATGTTAAATTGTTTCTTTGCATGTTTCCAAGAAAATAAAATGTCAAATAAAATGTTCACTAAAAAGTAAATACAGCAGAACCTCTATAACAGTTTAACTGGTTCCATGAGCGACTTCTATGTTAAATATTGGTGTGTTGGTTCAAATCTTCCATCAGAATACTCTGTAATTCCTAGAATTGGTTCAAAAAACCTACCATAACTCCTTAACCCCATAATGACAAATGTGTCATATCTGATCCGGTTTCTTTTGGATGTGAGACTTTCTGCATCATTCAGTGGTAAAAGCTTTGCTCAAACCCCTGTTGTACACATTCAGATATACCTGATAACAGCCAGTAGAAGACTACACCAACATAGATTTTTTACTTATTGCACGCTAATTTGATCAAAATAATTTTAGTTTTTTTTTTCATATGTTGTTGAGGGGCCAAAGAAAGACTTCAGACTAAAAAAATCCAATATTCTTCTTATTGTTCTTGGATCGGGCTTTGAAGGGTTAATAAATACTGCAGATGATCACACATAGCAATATAACAAATGACTTCTAGAAGAGAGATGGAAAAAGAAATAATCAATAAAAGGGGTTTTTATTGAGGTGGAGACTGAGATACAGGACCAGCCCTAACTCACTCTGACTTTAGACAGGAACTTTACACCAACTTAGCTTAGTTATTCTTATATTTAATTATTTTTTCTACGACTTTGGGGTATGTTGGAAATTTAAATCGCGTGTCGAGTCAAATATTTGATCGAATTTCACTTTGGATGTTGGAAAATTTGTATGTTTAGGCACCAGAATTAGACATTTTATTCCAGACGAGGAAGAATAAAAATAAAAACCAAAAAGATGATTTCTCAGATTTGAAAACAACAATAACAGACATGTTTTTAGTGTGATTCTTCTTTACATCAACACACATGAACCCGCTCTGCTCACACAGGGCTCCACTAACAGCAAAATACACAAACTGGGAGAATAAACTCACTGCTCGGGGACGTGAAGGTGCCTCCTCCACCCACAGAATACACAGAGCTGATCCTCAACTCCTCCTGGAACATGAAGACAACAGATTATATTTTATTAGGAATACACACAAAGTAATAAGCATCTTGTTTATTTCAGAAACAAAAGAGAAAAGATTATGTCTGAGCCAATCGTGTGAAGGGCCTCAAACATCCGTTGCTGCTTATTTCTGCTGGTAAATTTTGAATCTTGAAGAGTTTTTGCAAAACCGACTGCAGAAAAACTATTTCTGAGACAGTTCTGCTCCACGTTGTTAGGGAAACAAATATATGTATAATCACTTTCTTAATTTATCTCTGGCAACTGTCCACAATTGAAGATTTTAAAGGTTCTTTCCTCCTTCAAGGTCTCAGAGAAACCAGGTCCCCTCATATTTTGATTAACATACTTTTGTCTGGAGGATTGTTTAATACAGAAGCAGGAGGAAGGACAGACTTTACGTCTCATTTCAGACTCAGAAAGTATAAAATGCTCCATGATTTGTTTTACTTTGGGGCAGTTTGAACCTCTTTTAGGATCCTACTGGCTGCTCTCACTTCATGAAGTTTTCCATTTCCCTTTTTAATAAATTTGTATTTCTTACTTCCTCAGATGGACTCAGACTTTTGCTTCAAAATAAAATTTCCACAACAACGTCCACTAGGAAAAACCTGCTCTCCATCCAACATGGCGGCTTTATGGATTGTTCAGTTAACCCTGTAATGCCAAATGTGTCATATTTGATTCATAAGGTTTCTGAAATGTTTTGTGTCTGACTCCTTTTGCATAATTTAATGGTAAAAACTTTGCTCAAAATCATATTGTACACAATCAGATACACCTGATAACAGGGGGCAGAAGACTACACAAAAATAATCTTGACTTATCGCATAGTAATAAATTGTTAATATAAAATATATATTTTTGTTTTTTCTTTTTACATATTTTGTTAAAAGGCCAAATAAGGAATTAAAAAAAAAGTAATTTTCTGTTTTGTTTTATTCTTGGATCAGGCTTTAAAGGGTTAAGGTGTGTAATTTTCCCTTTTGTTTCTCAAATAAAACGGGATCCTGTGACTTTTATTGTTGAGCAGAAAGTTGATTGGCTTGTAAACCCTGTTCGACTGAACAGAAAATTAAAAAAAAAGCCTCTGGTCCTGGTTCCCCCGGGGACTCCAACCCAGAACCCTCTGGTCCTGGTTCCCCCGGGACTCCA